TTTCTTTCTTTCTTTCTTTTCTTTTTCAAGACAGGGTTTCTCTGTATTGTTTTGGAGCCTGTCCTGGAATTCGCTCTGTAGACCAGGCTGGCCTCGAACTCAGAGAGATACACCTACCTCTGCCTCCTGAGTGCTGGGATTAAAGGTATGTGCCACCAACGCCCGGCTTAGCTGGGCTTTCTTTAGATGCCCTTTTAATGGACCTCTAATTCACCAAGGCCAAGAAGGGTGGTAGTGGTTGGCACAGGTTGTACTCTTCAGAACAGGGCATTCATAATCAACTACCCACAGGTCTGGACAGCCATGGACACTGGGAGAGGGCAAAAAAAGTAGAGTGTATGGCCACTCAGAGAAGCTGGGGAGAAAGGGTAGATTCCTGATAGGAAGACCTGATCCCAGCCTGGTGTTACAAGGAAGTTGGCTTGGCCACTGACTACTTGGTTGTAGGCTAGAACTGGAACCAGATAGCCCTGTGACTCCCCAGTTGCAGCAGTAGTAAACCCCATCAGAAGTCTCCCTGACTAGTTTTCTGCCTGTGTTGGTAGTACTGGCCACTGTTGTTTGAGGTTTTGTTACTGTTGTTGGGTTTGGGTTTTTTTGTTTGGTTTTGGTTTTTATTTTTATTTTTAGTGTTGGGTATTGAAACCCAGGGCCTTGAGAGAGCGCTTTATCACCAAGCTGCACACTCAGTTCTTAGTATCTCTATCAAACAACAAAATAAACTTAGGGTGTCATAAGCTAGGGAGGAACCAGTCCCAACGTTCCCAGCTCAGCCTGAGAGGCATCCCCAACTTTAGGAAGGCTTCTAGCATGGAGACCTCAGCCAGTGTGATCACACAGACTGTTGGCTACCTAGGTCCCTGAGAGCTAGGCAGGGAGTGACTTGGGAATGGAGTGCCTAAAGAGCCCATGACTTGTCTGCTCCTTTCTGCTACCTCTCACTGAGAGCAAGAAGAGGTGCTGGGAGCTCCTGGGAGATTTCTGCCTTAATTTCCAAGGCCTGGCAGGCATCCCTGCAGCTGATGCAAGGCATGGGCCGGGTGAGCTCAGCCTGTTCCTAGCACTTGAAAGCACATCCACTCACTGTTTGCTTTTAGATCTCTTCCTCCCTGAAGTGGAACAAGACCACCTGAGGATCTGGAAGTAGGCTCTGCTTGGGCACTGAGCATTTCCCATCAATCCCCTAGGGGACACACCTGATGGAAATAGAGGGCCTACGAAGCCCTCAGGCTCTGACCCAATTCAGTCCACAGCATTCTGTCCTCTTACCTGAGGCTTCTCTCCACTTGCCCTCCCTACCCTTCGAAAAGAAGTAGTTCCCTGCAAGAACTACTTCACCTAGTAGTTCTCTTTTCAATAAATAAATAAATCTGTATTCATGGACATCTGTAGCTCCCATCTGGGAGGGGTACCAGGGAAGAAGTATCCAAGAGCAGAACCTGACATCTCCAAGACTCTCTTCGTCTCTGTCTGACTTATGCACACAGGCTGTGGCTACATAGTGGGGAAAGGTGGAGAACACGGTCATTTGCAGCCCAAACTCAGGTTTGGAAAGAGCAGCTCCTGTCTCTCAACATCAGCATCCATTTCAGAGAAGGGTCTAGTAGGATCAATTGGTCCTCCTGGCCAGTCTTGAGTTAACATGCCTGTCTGTTTTTGCCATGTCATTTAGATAGAGTCTCACCATAGAGTTCTGGCTGTTATAGAATTCACCATGTAGACCAGGGTTGTCTTGAGCTCTCTGTGATCTATCTACCTGCCTCTGACTCCCAAGTGCTGTGATTGTAAGCATGCACCATTGTGTGTGTGTGTGTGTGTGTCCATCCATGTACATGTGGAAGCCAGAGAGACAATGTCAAGTGTCTATCAGTTATTCCCCATTTTGTTTTTGTTTTTAGTAGGGGCTCTCATTGCACCCAGAGCTCTGTATTTTGGCTGCTGGCTTCTGTCTCTACTTCCCAAACACTAGGATGCATATAGATACTGTACCCAGATTTTATGTAGGTGCTGGGGCTCTGAACTCAAGTCTTCTTGCTTACCCAGCAGAGACTTTACAGACTGAGATATTTCCCAGCCCTCACACACCAGGTTCTATAATGGAGAAAGTAGATTGTGGCCAGATTTAGCAACAGGAGACCCTGTCTGGGGAAAGAAGGAAAAGGTAGTGATGGTTTGTATGTGTGTAAGTGTGGGGGTGTGTGCATGTGTGTATAGTTACCAAGAAGAGAATGACAGCAGCATGGGCCAACAAAACAATAATTGTCTTTATCTTCTTTTTAACTCCTCCCTTCCCTCCCTCCCTCTTTGATAAAGTCTATAAAACTGAGAGTGGCCTCAAACTCAAGATTCTCCTGCCTCCACCTTTTGAATTCTGGAATCATAGGTGTTTGTCACCACACACAGTTTCACTGACTCCATTTTCAAAATGAGGAGGGCCAAGGGTACAGCTCAGTGGCATAGAGTTCACCTAAGCATGCACCAGGCCCTGGGTTGGCGTCTCATAACTGCATGGCAAACACACTAACTCAATATAATCCAGACTCTAACTGGGAAATCTCAATTGCTCGGGAGGGCCAGGCAGGAGAATAGCAAATTCAAAACCTGGCCTGGGCAATATAACAAGAATTTATCTCAGCTGGGAGGTGATGGTGTGCACACCTTTAATCCCAGCACTCAGGAGGCAGTGACAGCTGGATCTCTGTGAGTCTGAGGCCAGCTTGGTCTACAGAGTGAGTTCTAGGATAGCCAGGGCTATACAGAGAAATCCTGTCTCAAAAAAACAAAACAAAACAAAACAAAACAAAACCAAAACCTCATTTCAACAATAGGATAGGTGACTGTAGTTAGGCTACACAGACTGTGAACGGCCCAGTCAGGCTCGAACTTGGATTCTTCTGTACATGCTTCTCTCTCAAGTTAGGCTGCCTCTGCCACAGTGAGTCAGCTGCAGGCCTGGGATGGTTAACTTAGATCACACGGGAGCCCAGCAGATGGGGTTTGGCCTGGCTGTGGCTTTCACATCCTTTTCAACTGCCCACTTCCTGGGTTTCCCATGCTCTCTGGTCCTCAGTGACAGACAAATGTGTATCCGTCACAGCATTTCTCGAGGACTTGTTCTCTTGGTGATGACCCCTGCCTGCAATTTTCTAGTCTGGCTTGTTCACCAGAGGAAATATGGGTGGAGTTCCTGACAGGGCCATGTCATGGAAAGTCAAGGAGACCATCTCACTAGACTTAGAGAACCTCCAGCCTCCAGCTCTCTCTCCTGCCCTATGCTAGTTCACGGATCACTGCCCTAGGAAGCTAGAGGAGGGCTCCCCTTGCATCTCCCCGTACTCATACCCTCAGTGCCCATACTCCTTACCAGATCTCCCAGGTTCCTGCCATTTTTTACTCTTTCACATTTGAAAGGCAAAAGGCCTGACAAGTATGATGATTGCCTGCCATCCGTGGCTATATACACTTACATGACTCAAAAGGAGTTAACTATTAGTTAGTGGTATAGCTCAGTTGGTAGAGTGCCTAACATTGATGAAGGCCTATGTTCGGTTCCCAATGAGGTACACACTGAGCATGTCAATCAACTCAGCACTCAAGAGGTCAAGTCAGAGGAATCAGGAGTTCAAGGTCATCCTTGGCCACCGAGCAGGTTTGATGCCAACCTGAGCAACACGAAACCCTGTCTCAAACAAAACAAACAAAAGGCCCCAAATCTAATAAAATCGTCCTCTTTGAATAAAAAATAGATTTTTATTTGACAATCTTGACTTGGACTTTCATCTTAAAAGAAGTTCGGATTGTCAGCTTAGAGGACCTGGGAGAGGCTTAGTTAGTGAATTTTTCAACAAGCATTTGTCAGCAGCAGTATTCAGAGCCCAGACTACCGGGCATTGGGCAGGTCCTGGGGGTGAAAAGGCACCTCTAAGTAGTAGGGGCCAAGGCTGGGAGGAGGGAGAGGAGGTGGAGAAGGCCAGGGTGGGTCGGGTCCCTGGACAAAAGGACATCTAGATACACAGCTGTCAGCTGAGGAGGTGCTAGGCCAGTTCTGGCCCATGTTCTTTTCCTTTCTCTTCCACATTGGGTCATTTGGTGGGAGCAGGAAGTGTTGTTGCCGCAGAACACATGTGGAGGTCAGAGGTTAACTTAGCAAAGATTGTTGTTTCCTCCCACCCTATGGGCTCCACCATCACCAAACTTGGCAGCAAAGTGACCCCACCCACTGACTCAAGATGGCCTGCAGTCTCAAGGGCTATGCTCTTTTCCGACATCTGGGGCTCTAATTCGCCATTCTTGCAGGAACAAGGAATGAAAGTCAGCTTGGTACCTGATTAGGGTTTTGTTTTGAGACAGTTACACTATGCAGTTCTGCCTGGACTGGAACTCGCAATATAAACCAAGCTAGCCAAGAACTATCAATTCTCCTGTCTCAGCCTCTTGAGGGCTGGGATTGCAGGGGTGCATCACCATACCCAGCTGAATCCAGCAGAGTACATCTGGGGCCAATAACACCAGTGTTCTTAGATACGTCCTCTACGTCCTCCCAGTTTACAGATTAGGGAGGCTTGGAGTCAGTAAAAAGGCTTTTGTCTCCTGGGGGCTCCTCCAGGAGAGTGAATTGCAAAGCAGATAAGGGCTAAATCTACTCCAAAGTGCCAATGTCCCACACCCAAGAAGTCCCTGGGTGGCTGGAGAAGTGATAGGAGAGGTCATTCTCTTGCCTCAGGTGCCTAGGAGTCAATGTTGGGCTAACAGGAATGGCAGGCAGTAGATACTCCCTACACTCAGGCTTCCTCAGCCAGCTCAAAGCCGGGGTGGGGCACTGGGGACTAACTCGAACCCCCCCCCCACTTCTGCAGCATTAGGACTCTATGCCTTTGACCAAGCTCCCAGGCTTGAAGCTGCTTCCCTGCTGGGCCTTTGTCATTAGCAGTTAATTGACCCGAATTCTGAGCTGGTTTGGGAGAAGGGAGCCGGAGTGCCGCCTATGAGGCACTTCTTACGTGGAAGGTCCTCACTTAAGCCTCCTAAGCGGAGGCCGATGATGGTGCAGGGACAATTATCTTTCATGTATTACAGCTCGGGGAGGGTAATCTGCCAGAGGGTGATGACGAACGAAGGCGATCGTGAGTGCTCTGCAGCCCACGTGGCGCGCCCCACCCCCGTCTCGAATTTGCAGCTCCCAGGGCCCTGGCTTCCTCCGTGACATTCCACGAGCCTCCCTGAACCGCCAGACCCTAGGTTCCCCGGGAGGCGGTGCAGAGGTATTGGGGTGCGGCGTGGGCACCAGTGGGAGCCCTGTTTTTGTGCCAGGCGGCCGCTAGGCTGCCCTTTTGTTTCCAGGCGGCTCGAGACTTCTGCGGAGTCATGGTCACGTGGCGCTTCCGGCACGGGGCGTTCCAGGCTCCGCGCCAGGGCCCGGAGACGCCCCCGCGCTGGGCCAGCCTGTGGGCTGCTGGCTGCCTGCCCAACCCTGAGCCCCTCAGCCCTGCAGGGCCCGCGGCCTGCCAAGCTGCACAGCTCCGGGGCGCAGAGCCCTTAGCGTCCACCGCCCCAGGCTCCCAGCTGCTCTGTTTTTCATCCGAGGACTGTTTCCTGGGGTCCTCCGACTCCTGGACTCTAGACTTCAAGTGCTTGTCGTCAGCCCTCTCTTGTCTCCAGAAACCCTGTAGAGTAACTAGGTGCCACGCAAATCCTCAGTCTCCATTCCATCACTTAACAGGGTGATAGGGTCCGCCTTGAGCCTCCTTCCCTTATGCCAGCTAGCATAAACAAACCGCAGTTTATTGGCCCGGCCCTCCTCTTAGAAGGACAAAAGCCGGAACCTGGTAGAAACGGGTCCCTTCCCTCTGCAGCCCAGCCCATCCAGTAGGCCCACACAGCAACATGGCTCCATTCCTCTTAGGGAACCTCGGGAGGCCTTCTGGGGGGGGAAGACCTCATTCTCAGAACGTTCCAGAATTCAACCACGGGGCTGGAGAGGTAGCTCTTCCCAGCACCTACATCCGGTGGCTCACACCCCTTTCCCCCAACTCCAGCTCCAGGGTATCTGATGCCTCTGTCCCGAGGACCCAGGCACTCACATGCACGTACCCACTCACCGGCATAGCCACAAATGAGGGGGGGAAGGTATTAAAAAGAATTCAGCCAATAAATGTTTACTGAAGGTATCCTGTACACTGGCAAACTAGTTGCTTCCAGCGTGTGTTAATCCCCCAAGAGAAGTCAGTACAGAATTCCCTTGTCTGTCTAAGGAGAGGCAGCCTCCCCAGGCAGCCCTTCTCAAGGTGTCTCGAACCTGCCGGGCCTTTGGAGTGGAAATAAAGCAGCCCGAAGGGGAAGCTGAAGGCACACACTGTGTGCGGAAGGTGGATTTGTGCCTCACTGTTTCTTCAGGGCTTGGTGGGGAAGAGCAGGCAGGTGAATCCCCGGCTGCCACTGTGTCCGTCCACAAGGGGCAGTGGGTGCTTCATGTAGTGCTGAACCATGGCCACCACAGAGGGGAAGAGCTGCCGGAGGGGAGGCCGGGCGTCAACCGTGGGTTCTCCTGAGCAGTCCTCTGCCAACAGCTTCCTAAGGCGGCTGTGGGGCCTGGCAGGGGAGCTGGCTGACATTTTTCTAGATATGTTTCTCCCCGTGTGCTATGAAACTGCAAAGCCATTGATTTTGCTGTCTGGTTTCAAGCCTGCAACTGCACAGGCATGCTATGCTGTTGGCCAGCCCCAGGGCTCCAGAGCTAGGTAAAAATTGCTTTAGGTCTACACCTCTGCCCTGGTCTTTCTCAAAGGCAGCCGAGAGGTGGGTGACTGTGATAGTCTGAACTCTATCAGTTGCTGGGGAGATATTCCTTGCAGATTTTTGCCCCTCTCCCAGATGGTCTCATTGCCAGCACCTTGACCCCATGAAGATTGAACCTTGGCAGGAGGAAGCACTTCCCCCAGAGCAGGGTGGGTCTCTTTTCACAGTGCCGGTGTCTGGGAAGATGTTCAGGCCTTTACCTTCTGACATACTTGCTCTGTAAACCAGGCTGCCTCAAACTTGCAGAGAAACCACCTACCTCTGCCTCCCGAGTGCTGGGATTAAAAGTGTGTGACACCACCGCCTAGCTTTATTTTGCTTTTAAACAGGGTCTCACTGTGTAGCTTTAGCTGGCCTGGAACTAAAGAGATCCACTTGCCTCTGCCTCCCAAGTGCTGGGATTAAAGGCATGCACCACCACTGCCCGGTTTAATTTACTTTTTATGGGTATGAGTGTTTTGCCTAGGATCTATGTGCATCCCATGAATGCAGTGCCTGCAGAGGCCGGAAGAGGGCAGTGAATCTCTCAGAACTGGGGTTATAGACAATTGTAAGCCGCCATGTGGGTACTGGGAACTCAACCAGGGTCCAAACCAGTAAGCACACCTAACCACTGAGCCATCCCTCCAGCCCGCACCTTTTTGGACAAGGCCTCTCACTGGCTCACTATGGAGGCTGTATGGCCATTGAGCCGGAGATCTGGATACCCCTTTCTTTACCTCCCCAGCACCCAGATTATAAACCCAAGCCACCATACTTGATTTATTACATGGGTTCTGGGGGTCAAACTCAGATTTGCAAGGATTATAGATAGAATTATCCCAGAGGCTCCTCTGTCATTTCTTCTCAACCCAGGGTGCAGGCCACAAGCAAGCTGTGTGCTTTCTCCAGACACACACATGTTCTTGGCCAGACCCACGGTGCTGCACCGTGACCCACCTTGTGGTTTGGCCCATGACCCCTCCAGCACCCACCTCCTCATGATTCCTGCCCTCCCGGCCCAGGGCGTAGTGGTGGCCGCCATCCAGTTGCCGGATGGGGATGTTGAAGACACGGCCCCTGAGGAGCACTGCCAGAGTGAAGGGCTGGGAACCGTGAGGCCCAGAGCTGAGGCGCACAGTGTAGGCTCCATCCTGCGGAGGAGACCCCAGCCATGAGCTTGGAGTCTTCTAAGTGCCTAAGCCCAGCTGGCCAATCAGGTGCCTCCCTGGGCCTCCTCCTGCCGCCAGCTTAGTCAGCCACAGGCAGTGAGTACAAGGAATTTCAGGGACGGCCAGGAGTCCACAGATGCCCACCTTCTGGAAGTGAAGCAGGGCTCTCTCCACAGCTTGACGGTCACAGCTCCCCGAGTACCAAGGCTGACCCAGAAGGCTTCCCTCCTGGATAATACACAGGGCTACAGTGTTCAAGCATGAACAACAGAGCGCCCTGGGGTACAATTATTTGTTTATATCTGCCAGCCACACACTGAGCCCCGCAAGCAAAACTGAGTAGTGTCTGTGCCTGGAGTGCAGCAGCTGTACACTGTGTGCAGTGCCTATCCCTTGTGGTGGTACAGGCCCCAGACCAGGAGGGCTCCTGGGCAAGGACTCTGCTCGCCCCAGGCCTCACCCACAGTCCCCGGCTTCTGCTCACCTCAGTGGCAAAGGTGCTCAGGGCAGGGACTACAGAGGGAGCAGACAGCCTCCTTCTTGCTGAAAGAAGCAGAAAAGAGAGCTGGAAGGAGCTGGATAGGAAGGTTTCCAGGGTGGGTGCAGCAGAGAGGATGCCATGCCACTATGTCCGAAGCCCAACATAGGACATCCTGTACTCCCTCTGTTTCCAGGTGGGGAGGACCCACCAGACCGTCCTTGCATGATTTCCAAATGAGAACTAATCTTGGGACACACACTGGCAGCTTCCCGATTTAATGCAGAGCCTGGGGAATGCCCAAGAGGGTCATCTCAGGCCTGATCTTGGCAGAAGTCAGAGCTTCAAGGACCCCTTGATGGAGTGGAGTGGAGCCTGAATATCTGGGGGGGTGGTCTGTTGTCTGCAGGACGGGGGTGGGTGGTGGGATCCTAGCAAAACAGCCCCATTCAGGCTGAAGAGGAACATACTCACCTTTCAACGAGGCTTCCAATGCTCCCTGGGACACAGGAGGTCTCGTCAGATGACAGCTGGCCTTCTCCAGGCTGCTACCCACAACCTGAAGTCCCACCCTGGGCTCCCCTCCCACCCCTCCCACCTCTCCCACCCCTTCCACTGCTTCCACCCCTCCGGGCTCATTCCTCCTTGGCCATTAGCTTCTTACATTCCGAGCCTCCTGGTGACCAACCATGGGCCTGCAGGGAATACATTGAGAAGCAGAACTCAGAGGATTTCTTCTTTAATTTTTTCTTGTTTCGTTTTTATTTTTTGAGACAAGTTTTCTCTGTGGCTTTCGAGCCTGTCCTGGAACTTACTCTGTAGACCAGGTTGGCCTCGAATCACAGAAATCCACCTGTCTTTGCCTTCTGAATGCTGGGATTAAAGGCATGTGCCACCACTGCCCAGCTGTCTTTTTTTTAAAATTCTTTTTTGAGGGGTTGGAGTGATGGCTTAGAGGTCAAGAGCACTGGCTGCTCTTCTAGAGGTGCTGAATTCAATTTCCAGCAACCACATGGTGGCTCATAACCATCTGTAATGAGATCTGGTGCCCTCTGCTGGCCTGCATATCATACATCCAGACAAGACACTGTATATATAATTAAAAAATAAATCTTAAAAAAAATCTTTTTTGAGACAGGGTCTCACTATGCAGCATCAGCTGACCCAGAACTCTCTACATAAACCACACTGGCCTTGAACTCACAGATAACTGCCTTCCTCTGCTGCCCAAATGCTGGGAAAGGTGTTTGCTACCATGTCTGGCCTCTGGGGGTTCCCTTTATTAGTGAACCCAGTGTCCCAGGTTGTTCCCACTGCTGTCATTTACCTGGACAATCCAGATGTTCTTGGCAGAGGGACCGGGGGTATCAGGACTTTGGAGCTTGAAGTCCTAGTCAAGGCTGGGACTAAAACAGAGAGGACAGGCAGGGTTTGCCTGGGCAGGAAGTCTAGGCTGACCAGAAGTGGCTGAGAACGGTCTAGGGTTCAATTACTGTTCCCTTGACCTGGGCTCCCCTGAAGCCCTTCCAACCATAGGGAGACACCAGCTTGGTGGCCTGGTTGCATCACATGAGAAGTTCCACCCAGCCCTTGCTCTAAGAGTGTCACCTCTTTGATAGGGACAGTGTGGGTCCACCTGGATTAAAGGCAGAAATGAAGATGGCCAGATGGGGTTTGGAGGGGAGAGAGTATGCTGATGGGTAGCAAGGCTTCGGGGATGGGATGGGGCAGGTGCTTGCTCACGTGGATCTGGTTCACACTCCAGGTAGATGTCTTCGTCATGTTTCTCTGCAAGGTCTGTTACCTAAGGTGTGGGATCATGGGCTTGACTAACCTTATAGTCCCTTTTAGGAATAAAAAGTCTATGCCTCAGTGAGGAAGGGGGACATGAATGAAGCTACTGATTTGGGGGGTCCAAAGCACTGTACTCTTCCTCATCTACACAGGAGGGACCTCTCCTCAGTGACTTCTCTTTTAGAAGTGCCCACTTTTAGGAGAGTGGAGGAGAGGCTCTGGGTGACACCCTCAGGACCACTGGTTTATATCTGTGGGGGAGGGAAGGACTCTGTACCAGACCTTTCTCCCAGGCTACCCAGGTGCCCATTCCACTCCTATCATCTTTCTAGAAGAATCCCTAGACGGCAGGACAGAGGAGGCAGCTCACCACTGTAGCAGTTGCACCTCGGCCTGTAAGGAAAGGGGAGAACCAGCCATCATGAGCATCGGTGAGGAGGGGCCCGGGCACCCTTAGTCACAGAGCTCCTCAGCGCCAGCTCCTGAGGCCCAGGAGAACACACTTCATTCGCTTATCTTCTTTCTTTGCAACCCTGAAATGTCACCAGACTTGACCTCTCACTGAATTTCCTAGGCTTGGCTTCAGGATAACTTTATGGTGGGAAAACAAAACAAACCAAAACCAGACCAATATAGCCGCTGTCAAGATCATGAAGGTTTTCCAGCAACTAAGAAGAAAAGGATGAACCGTGAGCTGTTTGACCTTGGGCAGGAGAATGCAAACTCTCCTGCGACCTGTTTTAGACAGGAACGGTTCTAGCAGTCCATCCTATGCTGATAGCCTAGGGCACTGGGATCATAGGGCAAGTCTCTGGACAGTGGAGGCAACCGTGGCACAAATAGAAACAGAGTGGTGGCCCCAGGGGTTCCCAGTGATGAGGTTACTATCCGTGTGTTTCAATAGGGAGGGCCTTAGATTTGACCTCTTTATTCTAGGGTGCCTATCACATGATCCAGAGATCAATCCGCTGCAGACAGGGCCTGGAGGTCAGGGCCTCTGCTTTTGAACTGTCTAGGTAGGGTACAGCAGTTCCTGTCTCTGGGCCTGTCCCCTCATTGTCTCACTGGTGGTAATGATGCTTGCACTAACTGCCTTGCAGGCTTGGACAGCAAAAATGATGCGTGGCAAGCCAGGTTCAAGGAAAACCCAAAACTCTAGCCTGTGGAGGAGAAGACTCCCCTCCCAATGCGGAGCGGGGGGGGGGGGGGTCCGCTTTACCTCGACTTCCAAAAACAGGCTTCTGCTTTGGGGTTGCAGGCTGCAGGGTCATTGCTGTCTTCAGCTGTGGACAAGATGGAGTTAGTGAGGGAGGAGGAAAATGCAGGCTCCTGAAGAGCAAAGTGGCTGGGGTGTGAGGGGGTAGAGCTATGTGCCTCTTAAAACCAACACCGACTATTAGCCTGAGCATGCCTGACGTGGTGCGGGAGGAGCAGGAGTTCAAGGCAAGTCTGGACTCCATGACACCCTCTCCCGAGTGCCCCCTTCCCAAACATGCAAACATAAAGCATTACAACAAGAGAAGTGTAAGAGAGGGACGCTTCTCTCAGTCTCTACTGGGGGCTTTTCTTTACCTGAATTTCCCCTGTTTATACACCTATATTATTCTATAAAATACAAAAGCAAAGTGATAGTTTTCAAAATGGATAAGGGAAAGGGAATTGGGAGTGATGACAGCTAACCCTTCAGCCAGAGAGGGGTCCTGTGGCCCAGAGCCTAGGTGAGGGCCAGTTGAGCCTTGCCCCTAACCCCTAGCAGGGATGGAAGAGAGGAGGGCGTGCGCTGTCAAGCAGCGGGTGGGTAAAGGAGTGGAAAGATCCTCTAAGCAAGTGGGAGGACCTGTTGATTATTCACCTGGCCCCAGAGGTTTCAGGGCTTCTAGAATACAAATGTGTGTTGTGGGTGAGGGGGCTTCTATGAGATGTCTGTAAGGGTCACTCACCGGGAAATGGTAGCCAGAGGCAGGGCGGGTAGGATTTGTGGGGAGGCCTCTGGCCACGGTGGGCTGAGGCAGGGGTGATGATGGCTTGGATGGACCCAGGGGCTCAGGACGATCTGAAAAAGACTCTGGGCTTTGTGAACTGAGGAGAGGGAGGGAGTTTCCTCCCCAGTCTGTTCCCAGTTTTCACGGCTCCCCATCTCTCCCTCCCTCCTTCTGTCCCCTCTACTTATTGGTTTCTTGACAGCCCCGTCGTCTCCATGACAACTCGAGGCAGTCAGCTTCCCTGCCCCCACCTGGCTGAGCCCGGGGTGGGGGTAGGGGGGTGAGAGATGCCAGTGGTGGTGGCCTCGCAGGGCACTCCCGCCCAGGCTGGAAAGATGTGCAGAGATTTTAGAGGGGGGAGGCGAAGCCCTAGGGACTGGGTCGGGCTTCCTGCTTTGTCCATGTTGTCTTAGTTACCTAACCCCTCCCTCCGGCCTCCTTCCCATTCTCCTTCTTTTCAGTTTTTTCTCTCCCTACTTTCTTCCCTTCATCTCTTTGGCTTTTTTTTTTTTTTTTTACCTAGCCAGGAGGCCTCAGTGGCAGCCAGTTGAGGCCCTTCCCCACCCCAGTTCAGGCAGGCAAAGGAGAGCTCTCCACTCTCCATTGCTGCCCAGACCCAACCTCCCAGCCTCTCCCTCCCCAGCCCTCACCCAGATACAAGGAGTCCTCCTTGGAGTCAAGAGACTGTGCGTGGGCCAGACTGAGGGACGGAACTTCGCAGGGGGGCACCTCATATTTATCCTCGTCTTCTCCCTCCTCCTGAGCCTTCAAGAAAGAGTGCTGACAGGGAAGATGGAGGATGGACCGTGTCAGGCCCCGTAGCAGATGCCTACCTCTCTCTACCCTGGCCCCCATCCTCGGCAGCTGGACCTACCCTGTGTCTCCAAGTCTCTGGGCCAGGCAGGAAAGATGGGCTTGGAACCTTTTCTCTCCAAACTGGGGCATCTGGATAGATAGACTGGTTTGGGTTCATCCCACCCACTCTAGCACAAGGCTTTACTCTCTCCCTGGTAAATAATAAACCATCTGCCCTTAACTATGGGCTACTACCCTACAACTAAAGGAACCCATAAAAACGGGCATTTCTAGCAGCAGAGGCAATGAGACAGGTGTGTTGAAACACGGGGTCCCTGCAGATGCTTGCTCCGCCCACCAGTGGTTCTTGACCCCCACAGCCAAGGCAGGTAAGACAATCAAGCCTGATTATTAACCCTTGCTGGAGAGCTGGTAGGACAGGTTATCTAGAGTCACTCAGGGAGATCCAAATGTGGGGGACCCTGGTCAGCTGGGGCCTACGACCCCCCTGTGTCACTTACCTAGGCACCTGGCTGGTGGCAGTGGTGGCCCCAACCTGTAAGCAGATTCTACTCAGCTCTGCCCAAGGGGACCCTTTCCTGTGTCAGGGTGACATTGCACTCTCGACTGTTCACATCTATAACTGTGAAGACTCCCTGCAGACACTGTGTGACATGGCGGACCCCAGAACCGAGCCACAGAGAGGAAAGACTGGGGGAGGGGCAGAACCAGTGACCTCTGGCGCACAGCTGGAGCGTCGGTTCCTAGGGAAGCTGGCCACAGTGCTGACAGGCGGTGGGTCACATGGGGAGAAGCAGATGCCTCTCGCAGTGGAGGGAGAGGAAAGTGAAGGCAGGAGGGCGAGCAGGAGGAAGAGGGGGAGTACTCACCGGGCCCTGCTGCCACTGAACCTGTCCTAGAAGGAGGTAGAAGGGGAGTTGAGGGAGTGGTCAGTACACCTGGGACTCTCCCTGCCCAGAGTCCTGCATCTCCTGAACAGATATAGGTGCCTGCGGCTCCCCTGGGACCAAGTCTCACCATGGCAAGGTAGAGGAGCTGAGTCCTTTTGCCTCTCCAGAGCCTTGGAACTGCCACAAATGTCCTAGGGGACAAGGGTCTATTGTTTCTGTTATTTGCATATGCTAAGTAAGAAGGTGTCGGCCTCCACCTGTGGTTTCCCACCCCAAACGGGCTTTATCCACGACACTCCCAGCTCCCCTCACCCCTGCTCTCCCTCTCAAGGCTGTGGTCTCCAGCCCTTCTGCTGAGCTAGAAGAAAGACCAGGTTGGGCTCTCTGATAGTGTCACCTTTGCAGATCTGTATGGGTTACAAGAATGGACAGATCCCTTGCAATCACTTTCCCTGATCCTTTCTTCACTTGTTGGCGGGTGGTGACCACCAACCGGAGAAAGTTAAAGGTTAGGGGAAATCCAGACACTCTCATATCTCATGTGACTGCTTTATTCTTTTTTATTTATTTATTTATTACATATACAGTGTTATGCCTACATGCCAGAAGAGGGCACCAGATTGAATTGAAGATGGTTGTGAGCCACCATGTGGTTGCTGGGAATTGAACTCAGGACCCCTGGAAGAGCAGTCAGTGCTCTTAACCTCTCAGCCATCTCTCCAGCCCTGACTGCTTTATTCTTTAATGGAGGTGTTTATTAATCATCTATCAAGCTGGATGTGCTGGTGCATACCTTTGATCCCAGGACTTGGGAGGCAGAGACAGGCAGATCTCTGTGAGTTTGAGATCAGCCTGGTCTACAGAGTGAGTTCCAGGACAGCCAGATCTACACGGAGAAACCCGGCCTCAAAAAACTAAAACCAACCAACCAACAACAACAAAATCTATCCAACATCTACTACACAATAGACACTGTGGTGAGGAGGCTACAGAAAACAGGCAAGCCTTACATGTGCCCTTTACTCATTGGACTCTCAAAATAGCTTCATGATGCAAGCACCAGTTGTAAGTTCACTTTCAAATGAAGATGCTGAGTCTATTAGTCACCTCTCACTGATGTCACAATACCACAACACCAGGAGGCTTAAACAATAGAGATTTTATTTCCTCCAAGTTCAGGAGGATGGAAGGCTGAGATCAGGGCTGGTTTCTGGTGCGGCCTCTGTTTCTGACTTGGATTCCACTGTGTCTCCCTGTGTCTTCACGTGGCTCTGTGCCTGTGGGCACAGCTGGCGGCTGAGCTGGGATTGCTCCTTCTTGGACACAAGACTAGACTATAGGGTCAGAGCCTTACTCTTATGACCCCATCTAATCTTAATTGCCTCCCTAAAGGCTGTATGTCCATTTACAGCCACTAGGACCAGAGGTTCAACATAAGTATCCATAATATCAAGGCTCGGAACAGCTGTGTTAAGCTTCCGGGCTGGGCTGTGGCTCTGTCGATAGAGCACTTGCCTAGCATGCACCGAGTCCTTTGTTTGAACCCCAGCTCCCTATGAAAACTGAGTGTGGTGGTGGTGCACACCTGTAATCCCAACAAGAGGACTAGAATTCAAGGCCACCTCAGGTGACTGTCACACGCAAGCCCAGCTTGGGCTATTTAAGACCCTGTCTCAATAAACAAACAAAACACAATTAAAAAAAAACACGGGCTGGAGAGATGGCTCAGAGGTTAAGAACACTGGCTGTTCTTCTAGAGGTCCTGAGTTCAATTCCCAGCAACCACATGGTGGCTTACAACCACCTGTAACAAGATGTGGCACCCTCTTGTTATTATTTATTAAAAATAAATAAAATCTTAAGAAAAGAACACAAATTTTTTTAACAGCCTTGAAAAGCCACTAGGATAACTCAACAGGGAGTCCAGGTGGTACCGTGGGAAAGTGGGGGAAATAGAGAAGACATAGGATCAACCCCACCTGAAACTAGGTACTCCCTGGCTCAACATCTTCCGTATTTGGACTGAGAGTCAAGGGGCAACTTTCTCACCCAAAGGAGCCTCTAGCTTATATAAAAGGAGAGCAATGTCTGGAATCACTAACTATGGATCAAAGTCTACAGGTCAGACTTAGTGGAACATTCTAGATACACCCAGCCCCAGCCTGAACTGATAGAATTCCCCAGTGGCACCACTCTCCCATCCTAGTCTCAGCCATTCTTTCCTGCTCAAGCCTTTGCATAGGCAAATTGAAGGGCCTGGGAGCAGGAAGGTGCCGCAGGAGGTTAAAGACTGCCTTGTCCCCACTGGGACACCAGCTGCACAGGGGTGGGGACAGGAGGGCAAGAGGCCCACTCAGCAGCCTTGTCACATGGAGGCTTTGGATGCACTCACAACAGCCCCTCCGGACGGATGAATTCCTAGACAGGGGACTGTCAGGCTCACATTCTGGAGGTTGAATCCCTCAGTGTCCGGCAGCACCTCAGTATCCATTTCCTGGTGGTTTCAGAGCACAAAGTGATTCCTCAGATTTCTGAGGTCTCGGTTACTGATCCCCAATGTGAACAGTTCATAATTTAGGCCAGGGTTGTCAGTTAACCCTTAGGGAACACAAGGCCAGTTCCTCTGCTTGTCCCGTCACCGGAGAGCTTGTTAAAAAAAAAAAAAACCTAGGTCCCCAAATCCTCTCCAAGACTACAAGAATTAGATGCCCCAAGCAAGAGCAGGGTGTCTACACTATCCACAATGGATCCCTCTCATCTGAGGTCAAGTCTGAGGAGTGTTGCTCAGTAGAAGATCTGAGCATAGCTTCTTGTAGTTCATTTTGGAATCACCTATAGCCCTTAGCTCGATGCTAGTTCAGGGTTCCCCATTCAGAGACAGAATGACACAGACCCAGCCCCCTGAAGGGCTGCTTGAGAGAGCAAAGAGATGGTTAGCTTCTCTGAACTTCTGTTTCCTTTTGTACAGATGGGAACAATTTACAAGGTATGGCATGGCTTAAGACTGCAATCCCAGCTGAGGCAGGAGGATCATGGAGAATTCTAGACCTGCCTGCCCTATATAGTAAGTTCATAACAGCCTGTACTATAGTGTGAGTTTATATCTCAAAACAAACTCAAAAGACACCTGTCATTGACAAGGCTTTCTGGGGGTTCAATTAGCTAATGACATGTGTTAGCTCACCTGAACTCAGGACACCATAGTTGAAGTTGTAGTTGCCCAAAAATGGAGGAGGTGGCTATGTTGAGTTGAGGTCCCTGGTGTCAGCAGAGGGAAGACAGCATCTGGAAGGTCTGGGGTGGCTTCTGTGGAGCTGAAGGGAGACAGGTGAACCGGCTGTGCCACAAGGTCTCAGGGAGTGTAGGGTGTGTAACCAAAGTCTCTGAGGTGCTGGTGTCTGGGCTCCTGGAAGACTGAAAGGAACAGAAACCAATCTATTGTGCTATTGGACATGCCCATTATCTTTGGGGAGGTGGTAATCACACTAATAATTTCTCACAGAAATCAGACACCTTCCAAGGTTGCTTGCATCCTGTTAGCAAGATACCCCATGCCAGGCGTTAAGCCAGAAGTGGGCCCTAAGAGAAATGTACAACAAAACAGCCTGGCAAGATTAGCTCTAGAGGATCCAATGCCCTCTTCTGGACAGATGGGGACACACACACACACACACACACACACACACACACACACACACACACACACACGAGTCTAAAATAATAAAATGAATATTTTTTAAATCACTCAAGCTGGGTGTGGTAGCTCACACCTTTAAAAGCAGCACTTGAGAGACTAAGGCATAAGCAGGCAGGTCTCTGTGAGTTCAAGGCTAGCCTGGTCTATATAGCAAGTTCCGGGACAGTCAGGGCCATGTAGTGAGACCTTTCTTCAAACAACAAAAGTCAATTAGTGAGTATTCCTCCCTTGGAGCCCCTCCCATTATTATGTGTTCTTTCTCACCTTTTTGGGGGGCAGGATCTCAAGACAGGGCTTCTCTGTGTAGCTTTGGAGGTCCAATGAAAGGACAAGGCAAGTCTAGTCCTGTGTCCTTGTCCAGCTTGTCAAGGCTGGTCTAGGCCTGGACCAGTGCCTTGAGGCAGACAAGGCTGCAGCTTCTGGGGATGGTAAATGGAGGCAGGAGGTTCAAGACTACCCTCTGCTACATAGTAAGTTCAAGGTCAGCATGGACTACATGAGACACTGTCTCAGAACAAAACAGGAGTCAATCAATAAAGACAGAGAAATAAACCATAGGAGGAGAGGAAGAGGTGATGTGGATTTCCAACATAAAGAAGCCAATGCTCTACGAGAAGTCAAGGCCCTGGGAGTGGGGAGCCAGACCCAAGGCCAGATCACAGGGTGAAGAGCCAGCACCAAAACAGGTGATCAAGGCAGAGTCTAAGTTGTTCCAGTGGAGACACAGAGGCCCACTGAAATCTATCTTTCACTGGGTTCAAGCTGATGCCAGGAACAGTCCCAGAGGGATGTGGTCCGCATCAAGGAGAGAAGGACCAGCACGCACTGATGGGTCAAGAGGCTGGTTTAGCACAAGCTGCTGGAGGCCCCTTTCCCTCCCACACCTTTGTCCTCCCAAGCCTGTGACTCAGCTGACTAATGACGTATTTGATGGTCAATAGACAAAGGAACAACTCCCTAGGGAGTCTGTGTTCCCTGCTACTCCCTGGTTCATGGGCACTTATCACGATAGCCTCTGAGAATGGTGGCAAACCTTGCCTCCAGCTCCCCCGAAAGTGGATAGGAAATTTAGGATACAATGAGCTTGTCTTCCAGTTTTTCTCCAGGGCAGTTCTCTAGGCTGGGTCAGATTCTCCATAGGTGCTACATCTCTGTGTCAGCTACCTGCCCTGCCCTGCCCTGCCCTGTATGACCCTCAGTAGACCTGGCCATGTCCCAGCTGTGCTTGAAGCCCTGAATGACTCCCATCCATGCCTCTAATGGACACCACGTGTTTCTTGTTGTCTTCTAAGAGTGGGACCTACCTACTTCTGCAGCCCTGGCTCCTGCATCATTTCCCAGTGGCTCATTAACACTAGGCTTAACCTGTGCCTCTAGAAAGCCTTCAGAGATTTAAGTTAGAAGAGACCGAGAACAAAGGAACATAAGTGTGTGCATGCCATGTGTACGTGTGTATGGCTGCACATGTGTTTTGCCTGTGTGTGGTGCAGCATATGTGTACATGCATGTGTAGATATGAAATTGACTTGCATTCATGTGCTTGTGTGGGGGGGTGCGGCGTGTGTGCACTTGCATGTGGAGATCTGAAGTGATGTTTGGTGTCTACCTACCTCCATCACTCTTGCCTTTAAAAAGATTTGTTTGAGGGCTGGAGAGATGGCTCAGCAGTTAAGAGTACTGGTTGTTCTTCCAGAGGTCCTGAGTTCAATTTCCAAGCAGCCACATGGTGGCTCACAGCCATCTATAATGAGATCTGGTGCCTGCTTCTGGCCTGCAGCATACGTGCAGACAGACCATTGTATACATAACAAATAAATCTTTAAAAAAAAGATTGTTTGGGGGCTGGCAAGATGGAGCAGGAAATTAAGAAAATTTGCTGCTCTTTCAGAGGACCCAGCTTCTGTTTTCAATACCCAGACACCCACAACCATCTGTGGCTACAGTTCCAGGAACCCTACACCGTCTTCTGGCCTCTTCAGGCACTGTACATGTGTGATGCACTTACATATATGTAGGCAAAACACTCATACACATAAAATAAAAACAAATCCTTAAAAAGACTTGTTTGGGTGTGTCTGCATGAATATGTGAACATCTTTTAGCTGCCTTTGGAGGCATCCTGAATAACCTGAGCTGGAGTTACAGGTAGCTGTGACTCAACCAATGTGGGTGAAGGTGAACTCAGGTCCCCTGAAGGAGCAACAACGAACTCATTGTAACGGCCAGACCTCCTCTCCAGGTCCTTCGTTGCCTTTTTGTTTTGTTTTTCAAGACCGGATTTCTCTGTGTAACAGACCTGAAATTTTCTCTGTAGACCAGGCTGGTCTCAAACTCACAGAGATCCACCTGCTTCTGCCTCCTGAGTCCTGGGATTAAAGGTGTGAGCTGCCACCACCCAGCTTCAAGAAGACATTCTAAAGATACAGGAAAATATAAGGGGATTGACTGTAGCTTAGCTTGTAGAGTGCCTGCCCACCAGGCATGAAGCCTGGGCTTGGTTCCCAGCATCGTAGAAAATCAGGCCTGTAAGTTCAAGGTTATTCTTAGCTACATAATGAGCTTTAGGCCAGTCTGGGCTACAGGAGACCCTGTCTCAAAAACAAACAAACCCATAAGAAAGTAGGGAGAGGCATGGTAGTACACAACTGTAATTGATGCTTGGTAAGTAGAGTCAGGAGAGTCAGGAATTCCAGACCACCGTTGGCGACATAAAATGTTGAAGCCACCCAGAGCTATATAAGAAAGTCTCAACTCACCAGGCAGGGGTGACACAGGCCTTTAATCCCCGCCAGAGGCAGGCAGATCTCTGTAAGTTCAAGACCAGCCTGGTCTACAAAGAGAGCTCCAGGACAGCCAGAGCTGTTGCCCAGGGAAACCTTATCTTGGTGGTGGGGTGGGGGGTGGGGGGTGGGGGAGTCAGGGTGTGGTGGGGGTGAGTGGGAGGGGGAGAAGAATGTCTCAACTCTCCTACCAACTCCCCTAAAGGAGAAAAGGATGGAGTCTCTTGTTTAAAAAAATCACACTAAAAAATGTTGGAGGGACTAGGGACACGGCTTAGTGGTTAAGAGCACATGCTGTTCTCCCAGAGGACACAAAATGGATTCCAAGTCCCCATGTCAGGCAGCTCCCGACTGCCTGTGACTCCAGCTCCAGGAATATCTGACACCTCTGGCTTCCGTGGGTAGGAAGTTGGATATGTGCATGCCACCTCTCTGCCCCCCCCACTTTAAAAAATACAAACAAACCTTTAAAAAAATCTTGGGCCAATGAGTAGGAGTGTTTGCCTGGTGATCCAAGCTGGGTCCCCGGGACCCACGTGATGGAAGGAGAGAACTGACTCCATCAAAGTTGTCCTCCACACGCGTGCTGTGACACTGTGACACACATACAGTCACACACACGTGACACGCACAAACACATGCAAGCATGCTTTCAGTCTTTTAGGAAAAAAGGACCTGTGTCTTTTCATATGAATGACCCTCCCCTCAAAGCCCAGCCCCCCCTCTCCACTTCAGCTCTTTTCTGGGGCTATTCATAATCAAGGTGTCACTCCTTTTGTTTTCTTGGTTTGGAGTGTGTGTGTGTGTGTGTGTGTGTGTGTGTGTGTGTGTGTGTGTGTGTGAGAGAGAGAGAGAGAGAGAGACAGACAGACAGACAGACAGACAGATAGACAAAGTCTCAAGTAGCCCAGGCTGGCTCCCAACTTTCAGTCCTTTTGCCTTTGCCTGTCAAGTGCTGAAATTCTGTGTGTGTACCCCCACCCCCCACATGGCCCACAGCTTCTTAGCTTCCTTTTAGCCTGCTCTATTGGCCCAGATTCTGCTCAGTATTGGCCCAGTACTCAGGAAGCCTGGGTGAGGCTGGGGGTGGTGGAGCAAAGTCTGGCTAGTCTTTCCCTGAAACATGCTCTCTTTATCATCCTGCAGGCCACAGCTTAGAAGAACTTTCTTCAGCAGCCCCCCCCCCCACTTTAAAAAATACAAATAAACCTTTAAAAAACACTTGGGCCAATGAGTAGAGGTGTTTGCCTGGTTAGAGGCTCCCATGGCAATTAAGCTCACAGGCATGTTCCAGAGCTAGACTGTACCACTTCCAGGGTGCTGTAAACTCTATAAACCGCAGCCCTGGCTTCTGTAGAGTTCACAGCCAAAACCCAACACCTGGCTCACTGCTCTGCGCAAGGCAGGGGCCTGACTGCCATCTCTTGTAGCGGCATGGCTACACTTATCCTGTGGAGAGCCCTCCCCTCTGCAAGCCTCGGTCTCTCTGAAAGGCTCTTCTTGCTATTCTCCTACGCATCACCAACCACTAGACCTAAAGGGACAACATCGTGTCCTGTCTGCCATTCTGTTTATCTGTAGACAACAGACCCCTTGGCCAACGTGTAGAAAACTGAAGACTGTCTTCTAGGGATAATTTTAACCACCGCTAGCTCTCACTATCCTGGATCCTCTCTGGCGTTTAGCTTGCAAAGGGGGCTAATACTCTCCCTAGCCCCACTCTTCAGAGGCTGCACAGCCCTCCCCCTCCATACTCTCCCACTGTACCACAGGTATTATAGAATCCTGGTTAGGAATCTATCTGCAGTTCAGAACCTGTCAGCCGGGCATCCTGTCCCTGCCTCCTTGTTCCCTCTCTTCTAGGTCGTAACATAGTGGGAGAGGAATCCGAAAACCATGACAGCCTTTCTTCCCTTCCCCATGGGAAACCCCATGTACGGTGGGTTAAGGGTGCTTCTCCAACACACACCTTCCTCCACAGGCATTGAGGGCCCTGAAATCATCCTGCCTTGCTTCTACTAAAGGAAAAGCTGAGACCAGAGAACATGGATGCAGGGCCTCAGGCAAAGCCCACAATCCCCTTGTTTGTGTCCAGGGCAGCCATAGGCATTTGAGAGTTGTTCCACGGGAGAGGGCGACTCCTGGTGGTGACAAGAAGAATGACTGCCTGCCTCTCAACTCCCAGAACTCAGAGGCTGAGCGAGGAAGTAGGTCATCCGAAGCTGCGGTCTTAATTATCAAGAATGTAAACAGAGGAGAGTCCCTTCGCGGGGGCGAGGGGCAGTCTCTCTTCTCACTCTTGGTTCTCAGTCGTGTTCCCCGTTACTGTTTCAGTAATACTGCCTCGTGATTTTAATCGAACCCTAAAGATTGGATCTTCAGGAAGCAAACAGTCATTATCAAATGATTTTTGGCACCTGGCAAGCCACGCAAGCTTTTACGATTCAGGAATTGGGTGCTAAGCCCTATCAGAATGCAGAAGTTTGCATTCTAATAAGACGTCTAGGTTCACCATGACCTCAAGGTCTCCAGACAAGCGAGCACCGGGCCATGCTTCCACGGTAGGCCGCTAAGGGACGCCCCAGTCCAAAGTCATCCCTTCCGGGAGTCGAGATCATACTGTAGCTCACTGAGGAATGCCTTC